ATCTAAAGGCGACATCCACAAGACGACCTGATTGTATAGTTGGCGCTTATGATCGATATCCAGTGAATTGAGAATTCTTATTGTAATTTCATTCCTTTGAAGTGTAATTTTTATTTTAGTTACTTTTTATTGGTAATGATAAAAAAGATTTGAATTTTGTTTTCATATACATGTCCATTAAGTAGCGCTACTAGGAGGCTCGCTTGTTCGCCTGCAGAAGACTCTGCCGTAGCGAAAGGGTTAAAGAAGTTTTGATTTAAATGTTGAATATATAAAAAAAAATGAATTGAGTTAGCGTTAGTAATACATGATTTTTTAAATTTAAATGATCGATTCTTAATAATTAATCAAATTACCATAGTAGCCCCCCATCCTGTGACACTAACGAGTGCGCCTTCTGGAACTTCTTTTCCAGTTTCTGCCAATGCTACAGGAACAACAGTGCAAGCAGTGTATGCAATTGGCTTTGCAATGCGTAATAAAGCGACATCAAAATCGTATCTGGTTCGATCGTTATATCTTGGATGTTTTTTAATTTCTTTAATGTCGTATAAACGCCCACCTTTGTTATGCTCATTGCTTCCAACCCTAACTTTTAAACCTTCGATATCGTTTTCATATCTGAAAAATTTGAACTTTTGGAACATTTATCTTCTTTCAAATAAAATTTATAAGTTTTAATATGTTATTACTAAAAGACCTATTCTCTAGTATCGTACAAATTAAACTGTTTGGAAGTATCATCTTAAGACGAGTAACATGAACTTTTCAATAAGTGTAAATAATCGACTCCACAAACATAAGTTAGAATTAGTTATTCAGATAAAATGTTAACCTGTTTATTTTCAAGAGCTTTCATTAAAAACGATTTTTTATTGATATGTTTGAAACATGCTTATATTATTTTATTTTACAATGAGTGTGGTCGTAATTTCCTACGAAACTCGGAACGTATATAGATGTTCGGCATAGATTTTAATTAGAATCGTTCAAGCACGCGGACAACTTTTAAACTTCGATTTTTATAATTCAAACCCTTATCATAGGTTTATAATATTTTGTTATTTCAGATTATGAAATCTATCGTTATACAAATATTATTAGAATCGTCATTTTTTTTCAAAATTTAATTACGAAGAGATGACCTGACTAATCAGCATGATTCTCAACTCACAACTGTGAAAACATGTGAATTATCATCATAAAATGACTGATAAATTTTTTAAAATGATTCAGTCGTTTTTGAGAAAACTACGTTAAAAGCTCAAAAATCGGCACATACACACGTACTTTCTCCAACTTTGATCTTATTTGCTTCAGAATGACTTGAAACGATTCTTGATAGCAATTTTATAAAAAAAATTACAATTTTATAAGCATATAATCGATATTGTTTAATTTCAAATATAGAATTATTATTAACTATGCACTATAGTACAAGTATTACGTAGGGTAACTGGGTACGGTTGTGCCACCGTTTTTTTGGTGAGTAAATAATCAGTTAGCTGAGGAAAACGAGGGCATTTGTCCATGTGGAAATACTGAAATACTGTCCTTAAATACGATGGATTAGTCATGAAATCAAATCATACGATAAAAGGGTGAGTGTTACAACAGTCCACACAGATATTAATATTTCAAAAATACGGTTAATATATTTGGATGTATATGTATGTATGTATGTATGTATATATATATATATATATATATATATATATATATATATTTTGTATGATTCTGAATTTGATGTTGACATATGTATTAACAAAGTCTAATAATCGGGCATAACATCAATAAAAAACATGAATTTCTTTCAAAAATTTATTTTAAATCCATGTTTCCGAAACGTATGGATTTATTTAAAATAAATTTTGAAAGAAATTCATGTTTTTTATTGATGTTATGCCCGATTATTAGACTTTGTTAATTTATATATATATATATATATATATATATTAAATTTATACTACTTGGTTACACAATGCGCAGCAGTTAGAATCCATTCTTTGCCAATGATGGACCCTCCACAAAAATGTCCTTTCCTATTGTGAAACGAAACTTGCCATCCACAAGTTGAAATATCTACATCTTCACCTCCTATATTCGATGATCTAGGTCTGAAATTAATTTATTTCAAATTATACAACTAATCAGTTACATAAAGCTAAATAATTCTTATTATTATCACCAGATTTATATTTTATTGTTGTACATAGTTACATACCATGCCCAGCAACAGCTACTGCAACAAAAGCTGCAAATATTAATGACAGTAACATTCTGCAGAGTGTCAAATTACTAATTGATTAACTAATTAATTGTGATGCTATTACCTACTCAAATCTTATCTTTAATATTTTTTATTAGGGGATTGCCAACCTTTTGATTAATCTATCATGGTATGATACTTTCTGCAAAATTGTGATAATTCTGAATGTGCTTTTTTATAAACTTATTATGTTAATGTGTAATTGAAACCTTAGTACATACTTTAATTATTCTCAGAAATCCAATTTACCAGATTTGAAACTAATGTTTCATAGAAATGGATTCAGGAGTATCAAGCTCCTGATGCTATACTATCTGAGATGTTTTATATATTTATTATCTCGAGTGAAGAGCTTTGATGCATATAATATGGAAAAAAATGTAGCGCATGTTATTCAATTAATAACCAGCAATACTCTAATGCATTCAACACTTTCGACTGGTATAAAAATTTCAATGATTGATATGATCACAAAAATTTATCTCGAATATTTACTTTTATTGAGCTCTTCCGTAGCTTCTTCATCAGAGATTTGGTCTTCTAACCCAGATTCGAGATTCTATTTCTGACAGTATTGAACATTATTATTAACTTCCCGATGGAAAAGTTTGTTTTCATCAAAAAATTTCAAGCAATTCTGAATCGAATGAGACCAAATTTGGAAAAAGTATAAGTGCGTGTGTGTATGTGTGTGTGTGAACAGGTTTTTTGTCGTAAATCGACGTTTTCTCAAAAACGGTTGGACCGATGTAAAAGCCATTCGACGATCGGTCGAGGCTTTTCTTTGTAAATAGCAGAAAAGTGAAAAATTTGTCGTCCACGTTTTAGCCCGCAATTCTGAATCAAATTTGAAAATTCAAAAAATCGTTCGAAAGATATTGGTTGGGAAAGTTTTTGGTAAAGATCGGCCGGACCGTTTCCTTGCAATAAGGAGCTAAAATTTTTTTTCAACAATTTCTATGATTTTTTTGACGGTAGATAGCATAGTCTCATATCACACTGAAATATTACGGCCCTACAAGTCGTTTAGTATTAAAAATTCGTCAGTTTGCAAAAATTAGTATCATTTTTTTTGGCGTGTATCAAAATTAGAACTTTCATCGACATCATGCAACTTGCCTTAAGGCTAAATGTCACATTCAACTAGTTGGAATTATATTGTATTAATCCCATAATTAGGCAATCACTGGATTAGTTTTCTGATAATACTAGGTTCAGGAATTCTACGACTACACATAATTTTAAATGTTGCAGGTTAATATATACATAAATAGTGAAAATACAATAATTCTAAAAATAAATTTTGTGCAATAAAATGATTCATATATTATTCAGAAACACCTACATGTTTATTGGCGATTACTCTAATAAGATTAATAATTTCACTTATGAAAAGCTGTGCAAAAATTAAATTTTTATTCAAACTTGACGATATGCTTGAAAATTAAAAATGAAAATTTTTGCATATCTTCACGTTTTGAAGTTTTTGAACATTTTGGCATATTTTCGGGCGCATGGATCAATCGATTTGAATGGTTCAAAAAACATTCGTTTTTATTAATAAAGAGTTGTGCTGATTAGTTTTGGCAAAGGCAGGTCACTCGTTACGAAGATACAGAGCAAAGAGTGCAGAAAATACAAATCGAGATTTTGAGAGAACGGAGTATCTGATTTGAATGATCTAAAAAACATTCAATTTGTAACGGTTGGAAGAAGAGGTGATTAGTTTTTGGCAAATGTAGGTCCAGTCGTTTGGAAAATACAGAGCTAAATGTATAAAAAAATGGCAGTTTTTGAGAGAACTAAGTGTCCGAATGATTTAAGGAACTTTCTGCTTGTTTTAGTAAAATAACTGCTTCTAGAAAAAAAAACTTTTCTAATTTTTTTTCCAATTTTGTTTTGTATATTGAAAATAATTCAGATTTTAATTTTAATTATGACTAAAGTTCTAAAGCTCACTTATATACTTTAAATAAATAATTTCAACTTTGCAAATTAGTTTATATAATTCTTATAAATATTAGACAATGTTACGGTATTTATAATAATCTATTTCAAAAAGATATCAAATTTGCTTTTTTTACTTTTAATGCTTTTTACTTTTAATGATGTATCACTGTAGTGAACTGTATCATTGAATGCAGTTCCTATATTTTTAACTTCCGTGGGGTTACATTGATTAAAAATCTAAAATGAATTTTTTTGCATATCTTCACGTTTCAACCTTCTCGAATATTTTGGCGTTCCTTAGAAAAAATAATGTGTGTATGAAAAAATAATGCGCGGATACAATTTTTGGACCACACTTTCGAGAGAACGGATCAACCAATTTGAATAATTCAACAAGAATTTGATTGTTAGTGATGGAAAGATGTGCTGATTAGTTTTTGGCAAAGAAAGGTCCAGCCGTTTGGAAGATACGAGGCAAAAAATGCAAAAATAGAAATTTTGAGAGAATGAAGCGTTCAATTTTAATGCATAAAAAACATGTTATTTGTAAATTATTACTTGTTCTTTCGCATAACTTCAGAGATATTACACCCTAGTTAAACAGAATTATATATTGGTTTCTGTTTATATACCTAAAAATGAACGTATAAAATTAGATTTATATAATCTTTTGAAAATATCAGTTCTTCAATCTTTATTATTTAATTTATCACAATTCATATCATAACATTAAAGAGTATCTTAAATCACATTATATTGAAAATGAAATCCACTTAAACATTAGCATATTTTTCAATAAATTTTCTGATTTCGGGGTGTGACACTTTAGCATAAATTCCTGGTTTTCCTGGTCTGGCACATCCTTGACCCCAAGAAACCACTCCTACTTGCTTTCTATTTTCATCTACCAGTGGACCGCCACTGTCGCCTTGGCAGGAATCTTTACCTCCTTCAGGAAGACCAGCACATAACATGCTTAACCAAATAAAATTTTATGTTAAAATTCTCGCTTTATATCTATTTTGATGTATTAACTTTAAGAAGATACCTACCTGTCTGTAATTTTGTCTTTACCTCCAGAAGGTGGATATCCCTTAGCACAATCTTTGGGAGAGATAGCTGGAACTTTCACACCTTGTAGTTGCAAAGTTCCGCCACCACCTTCCTGTATTTAATACTATTTATATATTCATAATTATATAATTTTTTTATTAAATTAATGCTTTATTCCATGAAATTAATGAACAGCGAAAAAAGATTTTCGAAAGGTTTCAATATAAGATATGCATTGAAAATACATATCTGGCGTTTGCTAATTGAAGATACTTTCCAAACATATACATAAAAGACGAAATACATAAAATTGAAGTAATACTTGTTCTGATGATACGTGTTTTTCGATTCTGGTACTTCGTAGTAAAATGTTTCTGTCTGCCTTCAAATTCATTTCAGTATATCTAAGTTAATAAGTTCAATATATTTAAGTGTATTGTATTACAATTTAATCGCATCAATCTCAATTTCAATTTTATTCCTTTCAACTTGCTGACAGTTATATACAACAACTCGGTTATCGAAACTTATCAGATTTCTTAAATGTGTAGGTACTAAAGGTTTTATGAAAATAAAATGAACTGCATTTCAAAATTATTATGGCACATAAGACTTCAATCAATAGTTTTTGTAAACGTATAATAATAGCCCGGCCAATTTAAACCTATAATCAGGGTCAAAGTTACAATAATTTGTAATGGGCTGTAACTTGGTAAAATTATTTAAAATACAACTACAAAAAAAATCACAAGAGTCCTCATCGATCCAATGCGAGCTAAAAATGTCAGAAGGACATGCGAGTTTAAAAAAGAAGGGGCAGATGAATGAGGACTAGCGTTTCTAAGTTTTGCGCGACGATCGGCCGAGCATTTTCTTAGTAAATCGCAAAAAAGTGAAGAATTTTTTGTCCACGTTTTAGCCCGCAATTCTGAATCGATTTTGAAAATTCGAAAACTGTTCGAAACATATTGGTTGGGAATCGACCTGATTAGTTTTTGGTAAAGATCGGCCGGGCCGTTTTCTTGTAATAAGGTGTTAAAAAAATTTTTTCGACGATTTTCATGATTTTTTTTTGACGGTAGATACCATAGTCTTATAGATCATACTAGAATATTACGGTTCTACGACAAGTCATTTAATTTTAAAAAATCGTCAAAGTTTGCAAAAATTAGTGTCGTTTTTTTTGGCGTTTGTCAAAATTATAACTTTCATCGACGTTTGCTCAAAAACGCCTGAACCGATTTCAAAAATTTAAAACCAATCGATGTATTTTGATGTGGATTATTTTTTCTTAATTTTGTGCAGCGATCGGCCGAACCATTTTTTCGTAATTTGGAAAAAAGTGTTAAACTTTTCGTCCACATTTAAGCCCATACTACCGAATCAATTTTCAAAAATAAAAAACTGTTCGAAAGATATTATTTGGGAATGATACTGATTTAGTTGAAAATATATCGAACCGTTTTATTGTAATTAACTGTTGTAAAAAAAATGTAAGCCGATTTTCATAGAAGTTTTTTTTGGCGTTATATATCCTGGTTTTATAAAACTTACTGAAATATTACGGTATTACGACAAGTAGTTTAATTTTAAAAATTTATCAAAGTTTGAGCAAATAAGTTATTTTCTTACTCGGAACACTTTTAATCACTCATAAATTAATTTATTTTTATTGATCAATTATTTACACATATCGGGAAGTTTATGTAACTTGCCTCAAGACTAAATACCAATACCAACTAGTTTTGCAAGTGTTCCGAAACAAACAAAATCACAACAGACCCGTAAAATAGGCCTACAGGGAAAACCCCGCAAAAAAACGAGCTAAGCAGACTACCTCGTAGGTGGCGTTTAAACGTACATTTCAAAGTGTATATATCTTTAAAACGGTGGCTCTGAGCAAAAAAAGTATAAATCCATTTTTGAAGATAATTTATGCTCTACAATATTGTCTCAGGTAATTTCGCGATAAAACTGACCATTTAGCAAAAAATTGCTAAAGGGTCG